TGCACTAACTACCTTCAGTGATTAGCGTACGTAATGACGCATTGAAAACGACTCCCCGTAAGCTACGGTCGTTTGGCTACATGTTTGTGTAAGAAACACACGTAACAAAACATTTACCACCTTTCCTGGTCATGGGCATCAAATAAACATCTTTTCGTGATGCAAATAAGAATTATGAAAAGCAAAATTTTAAAAAAGGAAGATATACATATACTACCGCTACCTATTGTAAACGTATATGTTAAATGACCAAACGAAATAAATGATTAAATGGGTGAGGCATGGTGTTACATCTATCCTCTAAATTGTTTGCTGGGGACTGACGCCCATCTACGATTTATCAAAATCTAAAACAAGATGTGCAGTTTTATACAGAGAACATATTGTGAACAACTATCTATACCTAACTATTTGAAACGGACCACTTAGTGTATTTAAATCCATAAGCCGACAATAAGGAGCTACAATACTTCTGATAACTGTTACCATATGTTTATATACAATTTGGTGCTGTATTGCTGTTCGATAAAATGTTGACCCAAGAAAATACTCTTTTTTTACTTTGATAAAGTCTATTATAATATTTCTATTCGCTATACTAATGCGCTTGCAAATAAATTGATAATATAATGTAGTAATATTTGCATTACACAAGAAATGGACTCTTATAATTGTATTTTTTTCTATCGTATATTAGCTTGTTACCGATTATAATATCAAAAGGCTAGGAGCGATCTTTGTTGTTGATAACTTTCTAAAAGATTGAATATTAGCTTTCTCTGCCACAACTTTCAATACGTTTCTTATCCACCAAGTTGTGTCCACAACACCAATGACTAATCATAAAATCATGTTTTATTATTATAGCTCCGTCACTTGATACACGCTGGAAAATATTTTATGTAAATTGATATATGCATAGTTGCTTTTGGTCTCTACACGTATACACATGTTGTTTACTCATATACAGTCATTATCTTCAATTATATATCATTTATCTAATTACCTATCGATCTATTTGACTTTTTACGCCATATCTATTTCATCTAACGACCCTGTTTTTTAAGAAGGGGGTCTATACATTGACTAAACCATCCACGTTGACAAATAAATGGCATTAGTATTCTACTGTAATATCACTACAAAACACTTTAAATGCAATACATTCATCTGCATAATCATCACGCTCAGTTTAGTAGAATGTGTGTTTGCAGATTTAAGAGAACATAGAGGAAGACATCATATACATTATTTTGTTTACATTCATTTTAGGGAACTATTTGGAGAGAAAAACACAATTACATGAATTTCATTCTATCATAATTCCCAAAAGAGAAATAGAAAAGAATCATTATACCAAGAAGCATGGAGGCGTAAATAATTATATATTAATTCAAATAATGAATAATGGCTGGTATTTTTTATGATTGAGCTAACCTCAATTCCTTTGTCTCAGCTACACACATTCATTATGAAATACAAAGGAGTAATCACAGCGACAATACAATAATTTGTATCGACAGTAGATTTTTAGATGATTTCTCACCAAGTCTATTCCGAGCATAAATGCTATTTTTCGGAAAGTTCGGGTATTGTGAGTTAACTTGATTTTTTTTCTTCTTCATCCCCCCCCCCCTTTCCATTCAATAAGACTGGGAGGCCGATGGAGATTTCCATAATTCTTAATTTTTTCCCAGAAATTATGTTACTTATTATTTTGTCGAAAAGATGATGGTCCCCTAGCCCTTTGGGTCACGTCTAGACCCTCCCCCCCCCCCCTCCTCCCCAGTGTCAAACAAAAACATATTAATTGCCTATTTACATATTGTAATTATGTAATGAGTTAACCTACTACGCAACGATATTTTGTTTTCAAATCCTAATGTGAACAACATTATCTGTTATAGAATATTTAGGGTCAATACAGTTAATATATTTCAGTTTGCAGACCACAATCGTAAGCACAATCATTAGCACGAGATCTGTAACACCATTGTGATTATTTTTTCCTGTTCTGCCTGGAGAGCATGCAATACTTTTACCGTTATGAATACAATATACTTTAAGGGTTTCTTTCCTTTTTAAATAACTTGATCCAGTCAATGCAATTCCGGAATCCATAAAATGGCGTCCAATACAGAACTATGGTTGTGCATACGACTATTAAAGTGACGTATTAATGAACTCAATAATGCATACTTTGAACGTGACATTTTAAGATTGGTACACATTTGGAAGATCACATCCAAAGCTCTCGTTAAGTACAATGTTTAGAGTGGTATTGATATAGTTAGATTGATATAGTACTTAAATAAGTAAATAATTATGGAGTAAAATTGTCATATAGTGATACCAAACTATTTACATATCTATATGTAACACGGTATATTGAATAATATTCAGCTTGTTTATTTGAGCAGGGAAAGGTTATTTCCACACCATAACATCCCAAATTATCTGCTTCCACGCTTTTCAAATTTCCATCAGATCCAATTGGATGCGATTCTATGCAAAACGATCGTTGGCAAATGTTTGCTCCTCATCGTACATGTAGCTGACGCTCTTTATTTTACGCGGTCTGACAAAATTAAGAGCCTTTCTCGAAGATGAATCTCTCGGAGACTTTTGAGGAGTTAACCAATACATTCTTGAGTCTATGACATTCCAAACATTAAACGCTCTCTAGTTGCGATATAATTGCGTTATAAATCTGTCTCACTTGATCTCGAATCCCAGTGCTCTTGTCAACGTTTACTTCGATTTGAAAACCAATACAGTTTCATGTGTTACGACCGAGACTATAAACTCTTGTCTTCCATTGTAGCCGATAGTATCAATATCAAAAATAAAGAAGGGGCCAGCTATTTATCGTACCGTCGGAGGTTAACTTCGTTCCTCAGAGTTAATGACAGTTTTGTCTAGTTACAATGATTGCTTACGAACAATGGGGGAAATAGTCGGCGACACGATCGCACAGACGTTCGAAAAAAAGCAATCTAGGGCAATTGACACATTTAATAGATATATAAGTAATTTATCTCAATTTATTCATGTTGCTCTCCCGAATCCTTGGTTAACAACCATTCAATAAACTTGCTTTGGAAAATGGCATCTCTGTAGATGGAATTCATACATTAGTTGTTGTTATACTGAAGAGGCGTTGGTCGTCGACATAATGTTATTAAAAAAGAAAGCATGAAATTAGGAAACAAATCTATTTCAACGGCGTTGTCCATCACCTATTAAAATTTGAAAACATTGTACTTCCTGTATGTATTCGGTAATCCGAACATGATTTTAATCGGATTTGACCCCGAGATGATTTTTCTCTGCGATTATCTTTTTTCTTATATATATTTCGGCAAAGTATCCATTTTATAATTGCCAAATGAAGAGGTCACGTATTAAATCCCCTATCTTCACAATCTTCTTATACCTCAGTCACACCGACGAGACCGACGCCAGACTGACTGCAGACCGAGCAAAACGATTACATTACCCCCAACGGCCAAAATCGGTCGGTTTTTGAGTCGGTCTTAAGTCGGTTTGTCGATGTAAATGTGGTATAACCGTCAACCACGCAGCCACAGCTACACAGTGTCGAATATAATTTTGATGAGGATGGAAATCCATATGAACGGTGATTTACATCATTAAAAGGTCTTATCGTTTCATAAAGATGTTTATGTCGGCTCAATACAAAGTGCATGCGAGAGCTTTATTGACCAAAATAATCATCGTAATATTCCATTTGCACACGGGCTGTGCATTTTCATCATTGTAGATTAAAAGGAAACTCATTCGATTAGAATAGATTTGCTCAAATGTTTAACCACTGTTGTAATGCGCTTCAAGGTTATTATCCTGCGCGTTTTGGATATCTTCAAGGATGGACGATGTTTCATAAACAGTAACAATCAGGTAGGTAACTGTCATGGCATTCCCAAGAAGATAGAGCGTTAGAAACACTCGGTCCAGCACCTTGGCTATCTGCAACCATTCCTTTTGGATGGCTTTCTCCTTGGTCGACGCTTTCTTGTCCACGCTCAGGGCCTCTGTGGTGATGGTGATGAGAATGTCATTCATCCGTCGAAGTTCACCCGCAATCTTTTGGAAGTGGCCCGCGTACATTCCACCGTGCGAGTTCTCCTTCTCCATGCCTCCGCCGTTGTGCATGGAGTACGGATCACCTACCGTGTACTGTTGAGAGTGGTTGTTCAGTGACTTTTCTTTGAGCGGCACTTTCTCGTACGCCTTCTCGCGTAACTTGGCCGTCACTCTATGGCCTGCACTCGGTCGCCCACTGGCGTGTCTTGCAGCACGGGAAGGTGGAAACCGCTTTGGTTCCACCTTCACCCGGACGATGGGGGCGAGGACGTGCAGGGCGACCACCCGCACCCAATGAGGTAGAGGGTCGCCGCAATTACCGCAGTTGTAGACGGACACGACGATGACGTTGAGAACAAGAGACAAGCTAACGAGTATCATGAGCACAAGGAAGTATTCTCCTGCAGAGGATTGATAAAAGGAAATAATAGTTGGATACGCAGAAGGTCAGAATTTTATGTTTAAATGTTCCACTTCATTTGTGGACAAGGTCATCCACAATTCATGCAAAGTAGAGTATAGTTGATTTTGATTTATTTTTACCAACAGCAATACATTTCATACATTTCATACAATCATTTACATATACAGGAAGAGGAACTATTGGTTGGTAAAAAGGGCAAGATAATAGCACATATACTAGTCGAGCCTAACCCCGTAAACAGCTAAACAAAGTATTTTGGTACAAATCGGTTTAGAGAACGAAACAAAACAAAAAGTAATGAATTTACTTTTACAATCGATACTTAAAAAAACAAGAATCACTACTCAACAATGTCTTACAATATACTAACTAATAATGTAAAATATGAATTATGAATTGTGTACACTTGATATTTCATTCATGACTTGTTCAACAAATGACTTGTAACAGAATTCCGAAACCTATTTCTAGACCTTGTCAATCTGACATCAACAGGTAATCTATTCCAAAATTCACTGCCCACAAAAGACAATGAAAATTGACCTTGTGTCGTTCTTAATTTTGGAAGACGTAATTGTCCACCTTCTTTTTGTCTTGTGGAATAGCTATGTTCTATAATGTCACAGTACTCTATCAAAATATGAGGCATAATGCCATTGACTAGATCAAACATGAAAGTAGAAGTTGATAAATCATGTAACTTATACACATTTAGGATTCGCAATCTTTTAAATAATGGATCTGAAGGAGTTCTCCATTCACTAAATGTTATGGCACGAACTGCCATTTTCTGTGAATATAATAAACTTCTTAGGCTAGTCTAATAAGTGCTTCCCCACACCTCTATTCCGTAAGAAATGTGTGGTTGTATAATTGCTTTATATGTAAATGTGCTATAACCGTCAACCACGCAGCCACAGCTACACAGTTTCGAATATAATTTTGATAAGGATGGAAAATCCATATAAACGGTGATTAACATCATATAAAGGTCTTATCGTTTCATAAAGATGTTTATTTCGGCTCAATACAAAGCGCATGCGAGAGCTGTATTGACCAAAATAATCAACGTAATATTTCATTTGCACACGGGCTGTGCATGGACCGACTGTTCATCATTGTAGTTTAAAAGGAAACTCACTCGATTAGAGTAGGTTTGCTCAATTGTTTAAGCACTGTTGTAATGCGCTTCAAGGTTATTATCCTGCGCGTGTTGGATATCTTCAAGGATGGACGATGTTTGATGAATAGTAACAAGCAGGTAGGTAACTGTCATGGCATTCCCAAGAAGATAGAGCGTTAGAAACACTCGGTCCAGCACCTTGGCTATCTGCAACCATTCCTTTTGGATGGCTTTCTCCTTGGTCGACGTTTTCTTGTCCACGCTCAGGGCTTCTGTGGTGATGGTGATGAGAATGTCATTCATCCGTCGAAGTTCACCCGCAATCTTTTGGAAGTGGCCCGCGTACATTCCACCGTGCGAGTTCTCCTTCTCCATGCCTCCGCCGTTGTGCATGGAGTATGGATCACCTACCGTGTACTGTTGAGAGTGGTTGTTCAGTGACTTTTCTTTGAGCGGCACTTTCTCGTACGCCTTCTCGCGTAACTTGGCCGTCACTCTATGGCCTGCACTCGGTCGCCCACTGGCGTGTCTTGCAGCACGGGAAGGTGGAAACCGCTTTGATTCCACCTTCACCCGGACGATGGGGGCGAGGACGTGCAGGGCGACCACCCGCACCCAATGAGGTAGAGGGTCGCCGCAATTACCGCAGTTGTAGACGGACACGACGATGACGTTGAGAACAAGAGACAAGCTAACGAGTATCATGAGCACAGCGAAGTATTCTCCTGCAAAGGATTGATAAAAGGAAATAATAGTTGGATACGCAGAAGGTCAGAATTTTATGTTTAAATGTTCCATTTCATTTGTTGACAAGGTCGTCCACAATTCATGCAAAGTAGAGTGCAGTTGATTTTGATTTATTTGATTTTGGTTTATTTTTACCAACAGCAATACATTTCATACATTTCATACAATTATTTACATATACAGGAAGAGGAACTATTGGTTGGTAAAAGGGGCCAGATAATAGCACATGTGCTAGTCGAGCCTAACCCCGTAAACAGCTAAACAACTTTTTTTGGTACAAATCAGTTTAGAGAACGAAACAAAATAAAAAATAATGAATTTACTTTTACAATCGATACTTTAAAAAAAACAAGAATCACTACTCAACAATGTCTTACAATATACTAACTAATAATGTAAAATATGAATTATGAATTGTGTACACTTGATATTTTATTCATGACTTGTTCAACAAATGACTTGTAACAGAATTCCGAAACCTATTTCTAGACCTTGTCAATCTGACATCAACAGGTAATCTACTCCAAAATTCACTGCCCACAAAAGACAATGAAAATTGACCTTGTGTCGTTTTTAATTTTGGAAGACGTAATTGTCCACCTTCTTTTTGTCTTGTGGAATAGCTTTGTTCTATAATGTCACAGTACTCTATCAAAATATGAGGCAAATTGCCATTGACTAGATCAAACATGAAAGTAGAAATTAATAAATCATGTAACTTATACACATTTAGGATTCGCAATCTTTTTAATAATGGATCTGAAGGAGTTCTCCATTCACTAAATGTTATGGCACGAACTGCCATTTTCCGTGAATATGATATACATGTACTTCTTAGGCTAGTCTTATAAGTGCTTCTCCACACCTCTTTTCCGTAAGAAATATGTGGTTGTATAAATGCTTTATATAATAATATCAGAGTACGGCTAGGAACAAAATGTCGCAATCTAAAAAGCACTCCAACTTTCTTTCTAATAAACTGATTTACAAAACGAATATGACTATTCAAAGACAAATGTTTATCAATGTAAACCCCAACAAAAGTGGCAACATCAACCTCTTTAATTTCCTCGCCAGCAATTCTTAGTTTACCATTTATACCTATTTTTTTCCTCCTACTACATATTAATATGAAATTAGTTTTCATTGAATTAATAGTAAGTTTGTTAGTAGTGCACCACTTATGTATCTTCTGTTTGTTGTTATTCACTTCATTTACATCAATTTCACCCTGGTCAGCAGAAAAAGTATAAAATAGATTGGAGTCATCGGCAAACAGCCGAAATTTAAATAATCAGTGACAGTTGGCAAATCATTTATATAGATTAAAAACAGAGTTGGCCCTAATACTGATCCTTGTGGAACACCACATCTTATCTTTTTCCTTTTCTGATAACGTTTGACCACACTGAACAAACTGAAATTGGTTACTGAGATAATCCTTAACCCATTCTAGAGGTAACCCTTGAATGCCATAACTAGATAGTTTACCTAGTAATATACTATGATTAATTGTATCAAATGCTTTTTTGAAGTCGATGAACATGCCCAAAGTTACTTTTCCCTGATCTATAGATTTCAAAGTTGAATTTATCAAGTTGATCAAAGACAATTTAGTGCTATATTTCTTTCGGAATCCATATTGATGGTAATAGAGTATATCATTTTTTTCTAGAAATTGCATTAATCTGATATTTATCAATTTTTCTAAAACTTAAACGATGACAGGTAAAACCGATATTGGTCTATAATTACCTGGATCTTCTCTTGGCCCTTTTTTGTGTAGGGGAGTAACCTTTGCAATCTTTATTTCATCTGGAACCTTGCCAGTTTCTAATGACAAGTTAAATATATATGCCAGTGGATGTGAAATATATGGAGCACTATCTCTAATTGATTGCACTGGAATGTTATCGTGACCACAAGCCTTTTTGGTATCAAGTAACAGAACTTGACTCTTAACATCAACTGCAATTATTGGTTTACAAAATAAAGATTGCTCTGTATTCTGCCCAAAAAAAACACCATATGCTACATCTGTATTCGGCAATTCATCTGCTAAATTCGGTCCAATATTTACAAAAAAAGTCATTAAAATCATTCACAATATCAGATTAAGATGTAAGTTGCATATTTTATCCAAGAACCTTCTTAATTAGTCTGTCCACTTCAGCGCTTCTCGGTGATCTGTTTTTTTTCCAGCTAACAATTCATTGATAATGGCCCATGTTTTATTTGTATCCTTCATATTATTTTTTAACAAATCGCAATAGTAATTTCTTTTCGCATTTCTTAGTAGAGTGGTCAGTACATTTCTGTATTTTTTGTACTTATCAACAAGATCCTGTCGATGATTTGATTTTATAACTTTTGAATACATTGTATTTTCTACACGAATAGATTTCATGACATAATTTATGTGAGTCTCTCTTTCTAGAAATTGAAATATGTAATCGAAAAAATGTAATTGTCGGAATAATTTATCGTGATCCTAGTTCAGATATAGCTGATTTTAATGATGATGTAAATACGTGCCTTAATAAAATGTTAAATGAAAAAAAGGACATATATATTATGGGTGACTGGAATATAAACTTACTTAACACCTCATCAATTGCAAATGTTAATGACTTCGTTAATATTATATATAATAATTCTTTTCGATCCTTAATTAACAGACCGACGAGAATAACACAAGGCTCAACAACTCTTATTGACAATATATATTTACCAATGTCTGTGAAAAACAAATTTCCTCTGGAATATTATATAATGATACAACTAACCATTTACCTATATTTTCTATTACCCGTAATACAAGGTCCTATCCTAAAGCTGATGACAATATGAATTTTAATGAAAGATATTTTAGCCAAGAAAATATTGATAGTTTTAATAAAGAGTTACTCTCATTTGATTGGATTGATATATTATCAGTACACAATATTGACGATACATATAATAATTTCCTTAAAGTATTCAAACTAATGTTTAATTGTTATTGTAAAATGGTAAAGAAGAAAAATACAAGGTCTTCAGCTAAAAAAACCTCGGGTAACCCAAGGATTGTTAAAATGTATTAATAGAAAGAATCGTCTACATAAATTATTTTGCCAAAAACGTACTAAATCCATTGAATTTAGATAAAAGAAATATCGAAACAAATTAAATGAAATCCTAAGAACGACTCATAAAAAGTATTATTGTGACTCGTTAACCAAGCATAAGCACATCTTAGAAAAGTTTGGCAAATTATACATGATTTAATGTGTAAGAAAAATTAAAAAAACTTTCCATTATATTTTATGAAAAATAATGTAAAAGTGTATAAAAATGAAGATATAGTTAATGAATTTAACAATTTCTTTTCAAACATTGCTGCAAATACCTTAAAACAAATTCATCATAATTCTAGGAAACAATTTAAACACTACCCAAAAAATCCAAGTCAAACATTAATGTATTTTTATCCAACTAATGAATTAGAAATCATCAAAATTGTTAAGGAAATCAAAATAAGTTATAGCACTGGCTTTGATGATATCAGTACTTTTGTTTAAAAAAAAATAATCCATTCCATATTAACCCCTCTAGTCCATATATTTAATTTATCTTTATGTTCAGGAGGAGTACCCAATAAATCTGAAAAATTGAAAAGATCATTCCTATATTTTAAAAAGGCTATAAACACTTGTTTTCCAATTATCGACCAATAACATTATTACCATGTTTTTCAAAAATCCTGGAAAAAATTGTTAATAAAAGACTCATTTCTTATTTGGATAGAAATAAAATATTAAATAATTGTCAGTATGGCTTCAGGGCAAGACATTCTTGTGAACATGCATTAATTGATTTAAATAACACTCTTTTAACTAATATCAATAACAATTATCACCCATTTGGAATATTTTTAGACTTGTCAAAAGCCTTCGACCTCAAAGACCATAACATACTTTTATATAAATTATCCCATTATGGTATCAGGGGAGCAGTATTGGAATGGTTTCAGAGCTACTTACTTGATCGACGTATCTATACTTCATTTAATAATTATAATTCCCAATACTCGACAGCCCAGTATGGTGTCCCTCAAGGCTCCATACTGGGCCTAATTTATATAAATGACTTATGTACAGCATCTTCATTTTTTGATTATGTCTTATTTGCAGACGATACAACTATCGTTTCAACTCATAGCAGCTTTATGTTTTTATTAGAAAAAAACAATAATGAATTATGTAAAATAGACGATTGGTTCGATGCTAACAAATTGATTGTTAATTATGAGAAAACTAATGTTATGTATTTTCGAAAACCTCAGGTATCACACAATTGTTTAGATTTTCATATAAAAATGAATGATGTTACTTTAAATTTGGTTAACTCTGTCAAGTTCCTAGGATTTATAGTTGATGATAATCTGTCATTTAAGGAACACCGTTTCTGTATAAGTAATAAGATGTCAAAGAACATAGGTATATTATCCAAATTACGTAGTACCCTTACTGAAAAGCACATATTTATGTTTTACAATTCTTTATTACTTCCCTATATTTATTATGGTAATATTACTTGGGCAAGTTGTGGCACTACTAAATTGAACCCTATACACAGACTGCAAAAAAAGGCCTAACGCATATGTTCGAACTCCCCTTACCTAGCTCCGTCAAGCCCAATATTTGCAAGGTTAAACACATTGACAATTTTTGATATTCATAAAATCCAAATTGCGATCCTGATGTATTACGTGAAACATAATTTAGCACTTCTTAATATTATTAATTTATTTCAGTATAATAAAGATTACCATCAGTATAATACCCGTTCCCACTCTAAATTCCATTATCCATTAGCACTAAATCAGATCTGTTGGTCCCCGAATATGGAATTCCCTCTCTTCTGATGTAACTTCCAGCAGTAATGTAACTTCCTTTAAAACCAAACTCAAACGTTCAATAATAATTACCTATGTCAAAAAAACATGTAATTTCATCTCTCCTTCCTACGTTTTATTATACTTCACCCTTCCCTATTTCTCTTTGCCTGTATGTTTAGTGTTTAATGTGTTTTTTTTAATAATTAAGTTTGTTTTGTATCTCATGCTCATTGTATGTATATTTCTTTATGTATTGGGCACCCCATTAATCAAGCCTTGGCTTTTAGGGGCAACCTGACCATTTATACTGTATTCATAATTTTTATCATGCATGATTTGTATATTGATTTTTTTTATTTTAAATGGTTTAATAAAACGAATTTAATTGAATTGAATTGAAATTGAAATTGGATTGAATCGAATTGAATTGAAAGAAAACGAATTGAATTGAATAGATATCCATGGTCTTTTGGCAGCTTTCTTCTTTCTTAACTGCTTAGTAACCAATGGTGCATGTTTATTACAAAGGTTTGAGAAAGAACTACCAAAATTGAGATAAGCTGTGTTGACATCTTTTGAATTTTATAACGTTTTCCAGTTATAGGCAGCAAGATTTTCTCTAAATACATTTATATCATATTTCTTGTAACATCTATATTGAATTTTTTTTTTTACTAGACTGCACTTTTGCTATGTTCTTCAAAATTGCAAAAACTGTGAAATGATCGGACACATCAGATTGTATAATACCTGAATGAATTTCTGATATATTAATATTTGAATATATATGATCTATTAAAGTAGCAGACTCTTTTGTTACCCTTGTCGGTGATTGAATCGATTGATCCAAGCCTATGTATTGTAATGATGTCAGAAACTCTTTTACTGTGTCTTCTTCACTCAAAGAATTAACATTGAAGTCACCCAAAAGTACACACTTATGTTTATCTACTCTCATTTCTTGTAACATACTCAACAGATCATCTTGGAATTCCTTTACATTTGTATTAGGTTTTCTATAGATTATTCCAACTGTAACTTTTACATTATCTGTAATATTAATATGCAACCAAAGGGGTTCTGAATGAATGACGCGATATTCAAAACGCATGTACTTTAAAGATGTATTAATATATGCTCCAACTCCTCCCCCTATTGAATCACCGGGGCGGCAATTTACTTCCAACGAATATCCTTCCAAACTGAATATTGACTTGTTGGTTACATTCCATACCTCAGACATACCAATAATATCAAAGTTTGTACAAATGCATTCTTCAAATGATAATTTAAACGATTCAAAAAATTTAGACAAAGAGCGGACATTAATGTGAGATAATTTGAGAAAGTTTGACTTATCAAATTTAAGAGCAGTATCAAATGAATTAGGAGTCAATTTATGAGAGATTAGCGTATCGTTCATTTTGAGGATGTTTAAAAGTGTGCACATATGGGGTGGTTAAAAATGCTTTATTCCATGAAATGTAGTTTGAAGTCCTTGTAATTAATATCGTTGGCGCCAATTTCAAAGAGGTCATCTGGTGAAGCAATCGTGACGTATTCATCATCTTTTTTCTTGCATACTATATTTCCGTTCTTTGTAGAAACACGCTTCACGGACGAAGAACTTTTTGCTGCCCTCAGGACTGCGTATCGCATCGGAGTGAGGTGCTCATTGATGTAGACTCCCTCACATCCATCTTTTCCTTTCAGTGCGAAGCGGGCATCGTAAAAGCGATCTCGCCGCCTCCTGTTGTTCAGACGACCAAAAGTCTGACGCGTTTTATCTGCTGATTTCTTCCCAAAGCGATGGCAAGATGAAATGTCGACCTCTTTTAAATCCACCCCTGCCTGCATTGCCACTTCGCAAACTTTGTTCGCAAGTTGCTCCTCAGATTCATCCTCTCTTCCCTCTTCTACAATGCCTGTTATTTTAAGGTTGTCTCTCCTGCTTATTTGTTCTAGGTGGTCGGTCTTGTACTGCAGACGGAGGAGATGGGGATTCACCTCCTCCTTCACTGCAGTGAGACATACATCTTTTACTGCCTACTGCCTTCTTAAATCTGAAGTCCGTTGGGCAATGTCAAAGATGAAGAAGAACAAAGCAGCTGGACCAGATGGTGTGGTCACTGAAATGTTTGAAGCATTAGAGGAATATGGTGTTGATAGATTAACAGAAATTATCAACAAAATATATGATGACGGAACATTTCCAGATGAATTGGGCAGATCCATTTTCATTACTCTCCCAAAGAAACCGGGAGCTGTGGATTGTGAGCAATGTCACTGAATGTAGGACAATCAGCCTTATTTGCCATATCACTAAGATTATTTTGAGGATTCTGCTTTTGAGAGCAAGAAGTAGCATAACTCCCATGGTCGGAAGGGAACAATTTGGTTTTGTAAAGGATGCGGGCACAAGAAATGCAATATTTGTGGTTAGAAATATAACGGAGAGAGCAGTCGAAATGCAAAAGGATGTGTACATGTGTTTTATTGATTATTCAAAGGCTTTTGAAAAAGTAAGACAATCGGAACTTTTTGAAGAGCTGAAAAAGCTTGATATATATAGGAAAGATCTAAGACTGCTACAAAGTCTATATTGGAATCAGTTTGCATGCATAAGGTAGAAGGAGAGTGTAGTGAATATATCAACATCAGACGGGGAGTCAGACAGGATTGTGTTATGTCGCCAGACCTGTTCAATATGTATAGTGAAATCATGCTAAGAGAATTGGAAGATGAAAACGGGATACAAGTGGGTGGTCATTCAATCACAAATATTAGATATGCTGATGACACTGTTTTATTTTCTGAATCAGAGAAAGATCTCCAGAGACTCCTGAATGTAGTTGTAAAAGAAAGTGAGAGAATGAGACTAGAGATCAACTATACCAAGACAAAGTGCCTGGTGGTATCCAAGAAGAGCAGTCCAAAATGTAACTTGAAACTGAAAGAACAGACTATTAAACAAGTCTCCTCATTTAACTACCTCGGCAGCATGATTAATAAGGATGCCAGATGCGAGACAGAGATCAAGACAAGGATAGCTCTCGCTAAATCTGCATTTTCAAAGTTAGGCACAATTCTGACAAATCGAACAATGTGTATGAGGACCAGAATAAGGGTATTGCATTGTTACATCTACCCAGTTCTTATGTATGGTAGTGAAACATGGACTTTAGCCTCTGATACTAAAAAGCGTTTGGAAAGTTGCGAAATGTGGTTTCTATTAAGAAGAATGATGAAAATCCCCTGGACTGACAAAGTTAGTAATGAGGAAGTTCTTACACGAGCTGGAGTTCAAAGGAAAATGATACGTGAGATGTTGATTAGGCAGTTGAAGTTCATTGGTCACATTACACGTAAAGAAGGCCTAGAGAATCTTGCTTTGACAGGGAAAATTGTGGGAAGGAGTAGGGGAAGAAGGAGGATACTTTGGATGGACAGTCTGCAGAAATTGTTGGAAGAGAGAGGAGTGAAAGAACTGGGAGTGGTACTAATACAGAAGGCTAGGAGCCGAGGGTTGTGGAATAGCATGTTCGCCAAAGTCAAACGATATGGCACTTAGAGAGAGAGAGAGAGACTCTCCCTTCCTGATGATGGGAGATACTTCCCTGCTTTGCTTGAACGCTTGCTCCGTGTCATGATCATGAGTAAACTCAGTGTACTTTCACAAGAGAAATCAGTTAATTTTATCAAAATGACTCACCCAAAATTACTTCTGAATGCTCCAGATTGTTCAATAGCGAATACCTCATAAGATGATATTAATTTTTACACAAGATTGATTCCTTCTTACGGTGAAAAGTGTCCGAATATCAGAGCACATTGGGAGAGCTGCCTACATCGTGTTCAGTACTGTTACAGAATCGATTCTGCTTCCCTGTGTCTTTTTATTATAAATTATCGTCATTTACCCAATAACTTTTATTACATACTTTCAGTATTTGGATAGTAACAGAGTGAAAATGAGAATTAGCAAATGAGGGTTGTGGGGATTATCTATGGGCGTCATTTAGAGAATAATGGAAAACCAATCACAATTTTTAATGATGCCCTAATTTCGTCTCTTACAATTCGACAGTAAATGGACATGTTATTAATAGTTCTTAGTGATCTGTACAGAGGTACCGCATTTGAAATGTGAACGGAAAAGAGAGAATTTTGTCTTCTTCCTTAAGAACGAGTTATATATGCAGAGGAGCGGAAATCAGCCTTTCAGGGTAGTCATACAAAGGATCACCATATCAGAAATTATCCCTGCCCCCCCCCCCCTCCTCCTTTAAAGTGATTTTTACGGTCCTTTCCATTTAGTGATTCAACTTCTTTCTTTGTTTTTGTAATTGTCTTTGGAAATATTAACAATCATATTGAAATGAAATATGTCATAAGGGTGAGTATCTACGTTGAGATTGTATCTTCAAATACCAAAGTAAAGATGTTTCTTCACCTAATATAGGAACTTCGTTGGTTGGAGGCATTGATTCGGCAACAATCATCAGGAAAACTGTCTTGGAAAGCAGAAAGGTGACGCCAAGCGTAACCTATAATTAACGAAAACAAAAATAAAAGGTGATTTACGATAAGTTTTTACTTGAATACATGCACAATCATCTATTCGGAGCAAAAAGGGCGTTTACTCTGTGTTAAAGTAGACGACGTAATACCATTCTGGCTCTTAACAACCGCATTGAGGTTAGCCTCTAAAACCAACACACTATTGTCAAGTCTTAGCGTCATTAGTTATTTAAAGATAAAGGTGAGTTCTGGTCATGTGATTGCATTGTGAAAGAAACGGTGTGGAATCTATCAGAAAAGGTTGATCATCTAGTATATAAGTATTCGTGTGTATTGCAAGGTTCTGGAATCATCAAAACGATAAGAAATTTGGCCAAATTTTGGCAAAGTTACAAGCACTGTACACAGAATGATGTATATGGGACTACACGAGCACATGGCGAAAAAAACCTACCCCCCCCCCCCCCGATTTTTACGTATTTTATGTCATATTTAGAATATGAAGGCATTTGAAGAGCCATGCTTTTCATGGAACATGATTAATCTGATGTTCTTCCACCCTTGCATAATAACAATGATAACGCTCACAAATTATTTTTTACCTCTTCCCAGAACTCAACCTTCTCTTTAAGTCACACACACACTGTACGATCCAACACCGAACTGATTGAAGAAACAAAACAAAAAAACGCAATTGGTCCTATTTTTTAGAAAAGAAAATCTAGAACTCTAGATAATTCTGATTCAGGTTACTCAAAGACATAGTCTATGAATATTAAAATCATAAGGAGCTAGTGAGGTAGGCTAGGACTTTCCTCCAATTTACCATTCAAAATGACTATTAGCAATCTCAACCACGAATATCTTTTAATATTTGAATTGTCCTATCTAATACAAATCTCCTATACCAACGCCGCGGCATGTCGCAGTCGGATTCGTAAAGTGTGCGATGGGTTCTCATGCTATCCTACAACTCACAGCCGGCCTACCCATCTCTGGTATAATGTTTTCATAATCTTCATAATTATGCTCAGTTGATGAGGCCGCGGAAAAAAATAGTGCATGCTCATATTACAACATGACAGGCACATATTGTGATCTATTTATAAGCCAGAAGGATGTTACCTCATATACTTTAACACAAAGTTAACGCCCTTCTGGCTCTCAACAGATGATTATACCCTCATAATATCAGAGGAGAGTGACCCATTAAAACAAGGTCAAAGCTGAAGTTATATTGACGTTCAACCGAAAACATCTCAAGCGATCGACCACCACTGACATCCCTAAATTATGCTAAAAATAGCTGATACATGACTGTACTCATGGTAGAAAATATAAATAATACTCAATCATGGCATATGATCATAGACTTATCATGTATGTGCCTTTTTATAAATAAAAGATGAACCTAAAGATTTTAGTGAGGAGGATTTTTTTTTTGTCAGCTCTTGATGACACAGGGTTGTTTTTTCTAGGGTTGAGGGTTTTTTTTTGTTGAAGCTACTATTGCAGTAAACATCATGCTACTTTTCATCTTTTTTTGTCTTTATTATCCTTTACCATTTTTACAATACACATTGACGAAATAACCTTATCGAATATTTTATATTTAGAGCAGACATCTTTTCTTTCTTTTTTAAATTTGCTGATGGATGGATTTGCTATCCGCGATTTCAAATGTAGGCTGTTATATTCCCCTTTGAGAGTTGGAATTTTTCCCCTTCCCTGTATGGTCACGCCCCTGCAGATCATTCAAGTCGACTTCATACTTTGAAGCTCTCTGAACCAAGAGAAGTCCAGAATCCGGCCGGTTCATTATATTCCCTACACTTGATTCAAGCCGCCGAAGATGGCGTTATAATTGAACTCCTAATTTAAGGATCACGCCATCTTCGGCTGGCAGCGAGTAAATAGGGGGTGGTCGCAAAATTGCGTTTGTGTGGTGGAGATCAAAATTAAATCAGCCAGATCCTGGACTAACCAAGAGCAGCTTTAAATTTCAAAAAACAGTTGTGATGCCCACAAATTATGCTCTGACAAAAATTGATCCGGGCTTTGTTTTCTAAAATTTGATAGAGTTAGGGTTGGAGTGGCAATTGGGTGTTAGGTTTGGGATAAGGGCTGTATTTAATAGGTAAAGTGTACCGTCAAGAGAAGACAGTAAAGGCTTGTTCAGATCAGAGCCATATATACACAGAGTTTGGCCAACTTGGTTTCACTGGGTCACAACATGGCGTATATTCGTTTGTTTTGTGCTTGCCCAACAAAGCAGTAGTCGCCATATTGTGTCCAACTCGAACCGGGTTGGCCAAACTCTCCTAATCAATGGCACTGGTTCAGATATGGTTCGGTATACCGCCGCAAAAATAAACCGCCGCGTTTTTCAATACGTGTAGATAATAGCAACTGCGCGAAACAAAGGACCTTCACGTACTCGCTATTACAGCTCTGTTATGTGTTACAATACAGAAATTTAAAACGTTTTCACGTAACGACATCATCTACAAAACCGTCGCGGATTTGCCGAGTCATATCTGAACAGACCTTTACTGTTCGGTCGGTGTAAAATATTATCCCTTGGGGGTGTTTCACAAAGATCCTATAAGTTGGACTTAACAATTATGGAAAGCCGTTAGCATCTATGAAAATATTTTGTAAAAGTTATCTGAAAAGGCATAAAATTGTTGATTCAAATCATCATATTTTCTATTATCAAGGAGATTTCATGCTCTTGATGTGGAATTTAAAAAACGTCTAAATATTTGAATTTTCGCTTTGTATTATATTTTATTTTAAGGCTACAATTGGCTCTCCATAATTTGTAAGTCCTACTAAGAGTTTAGTTTGACTTTATAGGATCTTTGTGAAACACCCCCTGGAGCATTATATTAGTCGCATAACCAAATTCTCGCCTATGGCTTACCTTGCCCTGCGATGTTGGCGGCAGAAGAAACGCCATGGACGCCATCAACGTTATGATGCTGGCAGGGACGAGGAGGTTGAAGACATAGAACTGAGATCGGCGCTGGAAGTAGACGGTGAAAGTGACATCGGTGTACGGCACCCCAGGGTCATCCGGGTAATATTCCACGTTGTTGACCCAGGTCAATCCTTTCATGTCCCACTCGCCATTGCTGATGAATACTGACGTATCACCTGATATTGGTAAATAAAGAATAAGATACTATTAACAAGAAACAATTTAGAATTAGAAGGACATTTAAAGATTGGGTTCTGAAGGGTGTTTCACAAAGATCCTAAGTTGAACTTATCTCTAAGTTGAACTTAACAATTATAGAAAGCCGTTAGCATCTATGAAAATATTTTGTAAAAGTTATTTTAAAAGGCATAAAATGTTGATTAAAATCATTCATATTTTCTGCTGTCAAGGAGATTTCATGTTCTTGATGTAGAATTTATAAAACGTCTAAAATATTTGAATTTTCATTTTTGAATGTATTTTATTTTAAGGCTACAATTGCCCCTTCATAACTTTTAGGTCCAACTTAGAGTTAAGTTTGACTTAAGATCTTTGTGAAACACCCCCAGGTCATGTAAGTAAATTATGAGAGAAATTGGAAGGCATTAGTGATGATTGAAAACATAGGATTATATAGTACATATAAATAATAATAATATTAATACCAAATAATAATAATAATAATTGGATTTATATAGCGCCTTTTCCAAAGGTTACAAGGCGCTGCTCTCCCAGACTTTCGACAATTTAAGAGGAGTTGTACAGGTAAGTTTTCAGATGTTTTTTGAAGAAATCTAGTGAAGTACTGTTTCTTAAGAAAGAGGGGAGTTTGTTCCAGAGACGCGGGGCTAAGGACTGAAAGGATTTGAAACCAGCCTGTTTACGGGATTTGGGAATGACAAAGGTAGGAGCTGATGAAGACCTAAGGGAATAGGATGTTCTCTGTTGCTGAAAGAGTGAGGAGATGTATACAGGAAGGGTGGTCGACATAGATTTGAAAGTTTGAACAAGTATCCGGTATTGTATTCTATCAGCAACTGGAAGCCAGTGTAGTTCCTGCAACAATGGGGTGACGTGAGACCATTTTGGTTTTTGATAGATTAGACGGGCACATTTGTTTTGCAGACGTTGAAGTCTGCCCAGGTCCTTCTTACTTGAATGAATAAATAGAATAAATAGAATGAATAAATAAATGAAAAAAACAATAGCAGTTTCTTATATTACCGCATAATCCTTTAACACTTTAACATAGTATTGAACATAAGTCTTGGTATAATTATTATATAAATCTATTCTTTTCGATAAATCAAGGAGAGTAAACCATTTAAATACAGGGCCCTATACAAATTTTGAAAACATACATCTCACAAAAGAAAATGCACTCCTTCGATATTCCACGTCCACGCCTTAACAAGAAGTTAGATGTCATTGTACGAGTAAACTTTCATTTCAGGAGACATTACAGACTCAATTCTCCCTCTTGTTAGTTATAACAAATTTCCAGGCAATGTATCACGTCGGCTCTGTGATGAGTTCTTTTTTCAAGGATCGTTCTTGATATCATCGGCGAGGAAGCAAAACTGAAGCGTTCTCGGTCTCAAAGCCAAAGATAAAGAACCCTTAGGCTTTCATCACCGTATATGCACCCTAAAGAGGCTTGACATTTACACAATCCGCAAATCTTTCGCAGGTGATAGCGACAACTTGGAAATAATACGACTTCTTAAAGAACTCTATATTCAAAGAATTATATTTCGGCATGAAATTGTATTTCATTTTCTCTTCATATCGTCAGCGTGCATTTCATGTGCAGGTGCTCGGGATTCTTTTTTCTATTTAAAGTTCTGAAGGAGCTTTCCTTTGAATTCTTCGTTTTCGAAATCTTGCGCGTTCACGTGCCAGTACTCATGATCGATTCGACGTGTCTGTCCAAAGAATAAATTGTTTCCGCATTTCCACTCTAAATTTAGACGCAAATTTGTGAATCAAAGTTAAAAGTCCGTTTTACTTGAATGTAATAGAGATTCCCATTGGCAAATTCTATTTTTATTTCAAAAGGTTCCAAGAAAAAGTAGTTCCACGAAAATAAATGCGATATTTGTTCCTTGTTTGTATCATTTTAGGCAACTTACATGAGTTCTATCTGTCAAAATCATTTATTTATTCCAAGATATCTTAATGTCAAGAAGAATCAAATATTTGTTTTAATATTATTTTTCATACAAGAATTACTGGACTGGAATTTCAGGGCGTACATTTGTTTTAATCGATTGTTTTAATTGATAATTCTTTCTAAGAGCTTTCTTTTCTTTTTAAGAACTTTTCGAAAGGTAAATTTACAATTTGAATTTGATCAATCGCAACATAAAACTGTTATAACTTGTATATCTTTATTGTGTGTTTTTTGGTTCAAACTGTAACTGATTTAATTTCATTTAATTCAATTCATTAATTTCATTAACAAGAAATAATCAATATACAATAATATTTTGTCTGGGAAATCGCATTAAAAAGCAAGTGGCTTGCAATAAAACACAGCGATTTCTGTTACAATCATAGTAATAAAAACAACAAATACAGAATACAAACAAAGAGCAAAACGAACGAAAATCATTAGCACATTAAAACAGTACACAAGTTGACAAAGAAACATTTTAATAATTGTTTTAAATTGTCAACGATGGACAAAAATGGGAGTGGAAAGCTAGTAAATATTTACAAAAAATTGTTTACGCTTAGATTGAAAGTCATTTTTGGAGGGTATGTTTTTAAAAACAAGATTGAAGAGCATTCCATAGTTTAGTAAATGTATAGTATACTGTGTTACATTTAAACGGCAGCACGTATGTAAAGATAATATTATGTTAAGTTCGTGTATCAAATGAATGTTTTAACATGCTATTGCAAAAGAAATTGTCTAACATTTCAGGAAGTAATATGTTGACGTGTTCGAACATAAAAAATGCCAATTAAATTACAAGAATATCGATGATGATGATTATGATGATGATGATGATGATGATGATTATGATGATGATGGTAATACAGTCAAACCTGCTTTAGTGGCCACCTGTCTACATATACAACATTGTTTGTCTCCCTTACAAATGATTTATCATTGAAACACGTAAAAAGAACCTGTCTACAAAGACCACTTTTTGTGTTTCCCTTGGGCGATCGCTATAGACAGGTTTGACTGTAGTAGCATTTATAATGCACCGATGTTGTAACTATATATTTTGAGGCACATGAAAAAAGAAACCATTATAAGATCCTACCTTGCCCTGTTATGACCAACTCAGTGCCGTCATGTTGCCATGGTCCAAACTTCATTTCGCAGCTCTGCTTATCAAAAGGGAAGTACCTCACGTTGATCTTGCAATGACCCTTGAAGTTGACGGGAGCAGCCCACATGATCTCGCCATTGTACTTGGCTTTTATGATGGTCCCCTTCAAGAATGGTTGATGCTGTACCAGGGCACTGGAATCAAAATCATTGGTGGGATCAGCGAAAGAAAAAGTTAGCGCAACGTTGATTATTTCTTAATGACAAAGTGTAAGTATTTTTAATCACATAAATAAATTATTGAGCTTTGAGTGATCTGTATCATTTTGGAGCTTTGAATTAAGATATATTAAATGGAGTAATCCTTATGGAGGTCCTCCCTATTTCAAAGTTAACCTATCATTTCATCTTTTTTTTCAAACAAAATTACACTCCTAATAGTATTTGCTTGACGGAATAATATCCCTTCTCAGATAGGTACAATGTAAAGGTTAGATTTAAGTTTGCGTATTATGAACACAATATTAATATAAGTCCTAATCATTCTTGTTTTGTAGATTTTGATAAACTTATTTTCGTTATAGACAGAGATATATTACAAAGTTACCACATTCTATAAAACTTTTTTTAATATGATTTTGTAACGAAGTAGCATCACATACACATAATAAAACAATGCAATGACACATGTTCTGCTGGCACTGGTCCTAGCTTTATACCCGTGTATTAAGAATGATATGATTTTAAAAATTGAGGTTAACTTAACATTATCGTATTCAACTTTCAATCAACTGATACAAATCTGATCACCATGACAACTATAAAGTTATTCTTGTAGACTTGATGGATCAGATATACCTTTAAAAGTAGAAATGTTAAAACATGTTCTGAAAATGGTTTTAAACATCCATGTCACAGTTTTTAAATCACACGGTTCACAATACATGCAAAAACGCAGAAAGACAACAGAAAACAAGGAACATTTATCAAAAGAGGAATACCTTTAAGTTGTATCCCCAAGAATTTAGTGTGAGGACTAATTTCATGTAATAACATTAATAATTTCACTCCATTCTTTAATTTGAGTTTTAACATCGAATTCAATAAGATACTGCGAAATTTCACTTTCTTAAAACTATTATCCACTTTGCACCTATACATCTTGGAACATGCACTTTTTATTATTGTTTTGAAATGGTGAGTATCTAAAATAAATAGATTTACTCCAGGGAAACTCACCCATTTCAATATGGAATATGGATCAATTATAGTATGATAGATTTGGTTTTCAAACGTAGCTTTATATATAATTTCATATATGTTCGCTATGAAATATTAACATAAACTACATTTGTAGCGCACTCGTGTTTTGAGCTTCGAAACATATTATTACATCTACAATGTGCGGGGGCTATTAAACGTAGTTCGCTTGTCTCTTTTCCTAATCGTGTCCCCTTTTTTTCCAGAATTTTGACGAGTTAAACTCCATTTAAAGATTTCAAACGAAGAACAATCAGAAAAATAACTCGTAATCCACATGTCACGAAACAGATGTACATGAAATAAAAAAAATATGTACTAAGCACAAACATGAACGTGACACTCTACGAATACCTTGTCAACACGTCATCATGCACACGGACGGAATGCACAATGTTGCTACATTCGCCTATAAAGTGTGTACGCACACATTGTCGTCAAGTAACATCACCTTACTTGTTATAAAAGTATAAGTCTGGCAGCCATATGTTGCTGGAGATTAGCTTTATCTTCTTTGTTCCGCCATAAAGATCTGGGTCCCACTGCAAAAACTCATCTCTCCATAACTGCGGAAAGACACATTCACAAAATTGGACAAGAAACAGAGATGTAAGGATGTGGTGGCGTCCTGTTCGACCCGGGGTGATTGTCACCTCGCCATGTGATGCCCTTGCGACGCAGGACCCAACGCGCGAGGAACATTGTGTGTTATGTGATATATATGGGTGTGTGTAAGTCGATATCGCCCAAGTGGGGACACTACGACTTAGCATTTGCATGAATCAAACTGAATATATCACCTGTTATAGTAGAAAAGATCCGGCAACCAAATGCTATTACTCTGGACTTTTATCTTCTTAACGCCGCCATAGTCAGCAGGATCCCACATTAAGTATTCATCGTGCCACATCTGCATGAAATGTTTCGAAAGGAGGTAGAAAAAAGAAAGGAGGACATGTAGAAAGAGCAGGAGGGAGATGAAGAGTGCAAAAAAAACAAAGCGAAACAAAAAGACATGATATACTCCATGCGATGAAGAAACATAGCCTTACCTTCTGGACATTGGTGCTTATTCTATACAAGAATGCAAATCTGCACTTGGGGTCCTTACACTCGAAACTGTCTAAAATTAGATTGGCATAGTTTGTAATATATTTTTATAACAAAAAAACACATGTATTGCACTAATTGGACTTCCTTGATAGGCTGTTTAATTATACCGAAAAGTTTTCTCTTAATTTCAAAATGCATTCAATATGTAAGCGGAGTAATTTTGAATTGTGTTCAATTGGCAGATAAGTAGTTAAATGTTTTAGATTTCAGATAACATTATTATGAATATATTTTAAGTTTCTGTTTGGCGATTGTGTTTGGAAGATTGCTTTGTAATATTTATTATTGAAAAGGACCATCATAACATTAGGCCTACATATTTAATTGGTTTCGTATACGATGTAAGCTACAGAAATCAGTATTCATCGATACACCTTTTACACGAAGTTCTTCTGAGAACATTACTAATCTGATGACTAAGGCTAACGATGATAGAGTTGGGAAAACTCCCCCTCATTTTATTTGCATCTTGATAGGTTTTGAGTAATTAATGGAGGTGCATGACACTTTGGGGTGATGGAACAGATTTTCACCAAAGTCTGAAGGTAAGGCTAACACTGTACAATGAAATCATGAATTATCGAATGTATGATAACAAATAAAAATCACTCACTCATGAACATTGCTATGAATTGAAAATGATTGAGGCTAGATACGCATGAATGTCAAATGATACGAGATGAATAATCCTTATTTTCAACAAACAATCGCAGTATTCCTTTTACTCTAGAACGATTAAGATTAATGATGATAATGATAATCATACATGGCTCATAAATATACAACGTTCATAATGCACCATGTACAGTAGGACCCTTAACACGCCCATATATTACCCTTTCAGTGTTTAAAGAATTGCAATCTACAAGGGACGTATTTACCACACCTGGGTCAAGAGTGTCAATTGAATATTAATGAATAGGCGCCATGCAGCAGCGGCTGGAACCCACGAAATTTGTATCTCTAGTCTAGTGTCCGTAAAACCACTCAACCGCGACAATTAATTGCAATTAGTTCCTATTTTATCCTCTTACTGATACAATAATCGAAAAGAGAAGATGAATTAATCCTTAAGCCAAATATAAACGGGGCTTACACATAACAATAAATCCAATTAAATAATACTACGCCAGTAAATGGTAACTGAAATATTGCTAATCTTTGTCTAACGATAGTGATTGCAAAGGCGTTTTTAATCATTCGCTTTCGGGAGAAGGTCATGAACAAAAGCAGTACAATTTTGGATGACACTAAATACGTTTCACTCGTATATGAGTGATTGCTTTTTATGCTGCCACTGTACTTTTCATGTAGCGCGTTGCATGAGTAGCGTTTGCCGGACGTTAAAGAGAAGTTTAACTCTGGTAAAAAAAAATGTTTTGTGAGCTAGTTTTCTCGTTCCCTTATTCGAGGAAGGAATTCAATAATAATATTATCACTAGGATTGATTGCTCTTCAAATAACACCCATTTTCCAAAAGTGATGGGGAAACAGTTACAAAATTTGTAATGCCACATATTCTTATGGTCCCTTAAACCCATGTCTGTGTGTAATGCTTTTCACTCTTTTTGTAAATTTGTTATTCCATAGATAATTTCAAAACAACGCAATTAATTTTTTAAATATCACAGTCATGTGTTACATCAGTTTTACAAGTTAATTCTAGAGAGTTTGAAGGTTCTTAATTTCGAACGCAATTTCATTGACCGGTATTCTCAGCTCTGTCTTTAATTCAGCAGAAACCTAATCACTATCTGAACTCATGAGGCTACTTCATGCATATTGGATTTGAAGAGCACTGTTGAGGGAATGTTGTTGGCTTACAAGTGCTTAAGAAAGTTTAAAAGGTTCCAAGATTATAGGCTTCACTTTAGGCATGCCATCTCACACATTCTATATCCGATATAAGTCATTTCCAGGCAAACAAATCTTGGGCTTAGTTCGATTTCTGAATAATGAAATGAAAGGAGTATTATTCTTGCTTCGTCCTATGATAATTAACGGGACATTTAATGCGTTAGTTTGCTGAAAATGGGATTGGAATTAGGCAAACAAAAAAGTAGAGCAAGAGGGATTCAAGAAACACAATGCTAAACAACAAACCTAGCAAGCAACTACTGAGCGATGTGTAATTTTGAATATTCTAAACCAAATATTACAAGATATAATGTAAAAGACTGGTAAATACATGATTTAATCTACTGTGCAATGTTTAGAATAAAAACAACTACACGCACCCCACCTTATCGATGCATATTATGAAAGCATTTTGGTTAGTTTTATGTAGTGACAAAGTTTAATTTTTGGCCAGTTTTGTATCTTGATCGCTATCTCGTTAGCTGGATATACATGTAATGTTGATAAATTGAATGTTTAGGCATACGTCATTTTTAAAATTCTATCTCAGTAAGTAAGTGGTTTCGTCAATTTCAACACCTTTTCACCTACCCAGGTATATCGTTCAAAAAACGCCACATATGTTTGGTTTGGTACCTTTTCTTTAAAGAATGCTCTACATAACACAAATCGCATCAGCCAAAAGACCCAAAATCAATACACAATCGGGTAGATAGTTAAGTTGGTTAAATAAATTGTTCCAAAGGAACATATTAATCACTTAAGTTCTTCAGATTTTTCACACAAAGTGCAATTATTATTTTTTCCAGACAAGTCATATTTTGTTTATTGTATATACATGTATATTTGTGGCTGCATTAAAAAACATTCCCTCAAACTTGCTTTAATGTTACTTACGTTCAAATTTGCAGTATGAATGGTAGAGAGTTTTTAAAATGTGTTCCCAATTTCAGGACTTCAACCAGTACGAAAATAATTTATCTAATGTTGGTTCGGTGGGACGGTGGTAAAAATATGATTACAGTTTAGTAAAACAAAATTGTATTTGTTGTTCTTCAATTTTTTTTATAAACTGGCTAACCCACGATAATTTAAAATCATCATGCTACAAATGATATATACTGACAACTGAAATGTGTTTCGTCAATGTATACATCCTTTTCAATACTATATAGAAATGATTGATAAACACGGACCAATCGGAATGGATGAAGGCATGCAAAAAGTCAAACTGGGCCCTGTTTCATAAAACTTGATATCAATAACAAGTTACAAGCTACTGTTATAAGCTATTGAAATCATGGCATCTGATTGGCTGAGAGCAAATTTGTCATAGAAATTAAGCAGTTGTTATAGATAACAAGTTTTATGAAACGGGCCCCTAATCTCAGAACTAAGCAAATAGCACACACAATGTCGGTATGAGATTGGGTTAAAGCGGAAACTCATCAGATGAACTTCAAGAAATGCGACAAGACATGGAAAATGAGAAGGAGGGGATGATAATGTGCCCTATCAATCCTAAGACGAAAACTCCCTTTATTTCAAAACCTTCAAGTACTTCAATTCGTGTCATTATTACCATAAATGTTATAGTTCCAAACATGTAAGCGTTTTTATGGACAGTGAGTAAAATTAATAATAAATAAAAACTAACTGACATCTCAATCAGAAGTTTGCCAATTGCTATCTTTGATGGAGTTAAACAATTATGGCGTATCAAATGTTTTCGCATGTGTCAAACCGGTGAAATATCGTTTCGCAGCAAATTTCATAGTATAATTGCCAAACAAGGAGTTGCTGAATGTATACTGTATTGCACGCTTTGTGTTGTTCTGTCTTTAAATAAAATTAAAATTAAGGTTTTTTATTTCTTAACAATTCTAATTATGTACTATTATAGCATCTATGAGCTTGTTTAGCGTCGCTTTCATTTCCACTGTGTACCCAGTTAATCCTTTAAGGCATGCTTTGATGAACTGATATGCGGCAGTTTTTTTTTAACATTGACTCTATTTCATATGGTTACATGTTTGTATATATTCATCATCAATTGGAAAAATAAATCTAACCATTACGTACATGGCTTAATCTTTGGAGGGTTTCGTTGTACCGAGTGCTTTAAACCTCACGATCTTTATTTTATTAATAATTGATAATAACATGATAATAAAATATTGATAGATATACCCACACTTGAATTCGAACAATAATCAGTCAGTTCAAGTAAAGAAAATCGAATGTAACTTACGATGGTCAGCCAGGTAGCACTGGTCAACATCTGCACTCGCTCATCCTATGAAAGAAGAAGATAAGAGGGAATATAATACAGATAGAACGTTAACTGAAACGAAGGTCGGATACACTCACAGTACCTCTGAAAATTAAAACTTAATTGATGTTATTAGAGAACAATTTAATCACACCACAGGTAAATAAGCGGAGACAAATATTTTCCAATAGTTAAGTTTAATATATCCCCAAACATAACACAGGGCGTTCTCGGGACATGGACAGATATTCTACCAAGTTTTCTTTTCACTAACTCTTTGGAAACGTTTTAAGATCACTAAGTGTTTCAATACCTGGATATAGTTTGTCGCCGCCTACACAACATTCATAATATACATTTGAAAATGATTGCTTTCCCCAAAATATTCACAAAATGTGTTCAATAAAGTATTCCCTATGCAAGGCGTTTCTTTATAACACGATGGAATCCGTTTATAATTTCCGAAATATACATCAGTTAACATCAAACAATAGAGATCACTTTATTAATTCCGTGATACAGAACATGTTTCTATTTGTGAATTCGGTATTTGTTTTTGGTTTAAGTGATTCTCCATAAGTACATGAACTACGTGTATCCATGGTCATAATGGTAGGAGCATACAGCAGTAATTACGCGTAGCCACTGGCCTGGCAAATCAGTGCATAAGTAACCGTTGTGTCCCTTTTCCATCATCTTATCCGAGTCTAAATTAGATAGAAGAATCCACGATATCTGAGAAAACAAAAAAAGTTTCCCAGGGGGTGAACAATATATTAATGCTAATTAGAACGAGAAGAGAGGATTACTTTTCATCAAATATAATCAAATCACCCGCTCTCTGCCTTCGGCTGATTCTGTCGCCCATAGTGTTCGTACCAAGCCCATAACTGTCGCCGGAACTTTTTTTTTTCTCTCTCTCTCTCTGGTGATGTTATTGCACGCTGGAGGCGGGGAAGTTTTTGGCGCGCTGACGACCGTCTGAGCATGAAACAGTCAATTGTGTCTGCGATCGCGATACATAATTTCCATGCTCATTTGTGGTAACCATAATTTCATCATTCCTTCATTGTTTTTATCAAACTGTGCAGCATTAAGTTATACCGTTTCAAATGCACTTTTGAAGACGATACTATATGTACTCTATAGAGCCACTGTTTCTTTCTGTCTATGGTATTCATCCAAAATATACAAAAACGGAATGCAAATCCTAAAGTCACTACGATAACAAATCTTATCTTTAGCCATATAAACAGAAAAAATATGGAAAATGATGTTGAAGATAATTTCTTTAGATGGTGGGACGCCCAGCAATAATATTCGCAATAAAAGTTTTAGCTGAAAGCCTATATTTCTTTTCCGCATTTCGTTACTCCCCCCCCCTCCCCCCACCCTCCTCCTGCTGTACACACAATCATGTAAACTTGCACTCTATGTTTCCATCTTAAGATTGACATTTTCAAGTTCATATAACACGCCCTTTCATTTTAACAAGATCCTTTATTGAAAATGGAAGGATACACTTTCCAACGTCCGTTTACAACCCTATAAAAGCACTTTTGGCTGAACACTTTCGCTTTGGAAATTTGCATAATTTGTGATTTTTCAGGAGGGCACTTTCTGGTTAGTTGAAGAGGGAAGTTCTCTTTGCGAGAGCATGCATAAAGCTGTTATCATATTTAGAAGTGTATTGCATGTACCCTACTATTAGAGCTTCCAAGAAATTGATATTAAAAGCACCCCTATTAAAACAGTACTTCCCAATGCAGGAGCGGGATGTCTGCATGCACCATTGTCATTCAAGGTATTTGGAGTATTTCCTTCGGTTTGGGGGATGAAGGGTAAACTTAATCCAATTGTGGTACATTTTACTCAATAAACAATCAAATTTTACACGAAATTTCACACGACAAAAAACATGCATGTTCCACATAATCACGAAAATAATACCCAACTCTTTTTGGCGTGAACGAAATGTTGAACGAACTGAAAATATATCCCATGTATACATAGGATATATTTTCATTTTGTCAAGTACTAAATGATAAATTGTAAATATATGTTATTACATTTTATCATTTAGTACTTTGGAAATTTCGTTATTAAACGTCTTGTGATTAAAAGTCATTTTGCTTGATAATTTAGATGATGATGATGACTCTCTTACTCAAAATTGGCCAAGCATTATTTTGTTGTTGGTTTTATTTTAAGGTGTTTTTCTTTTGGGTGGGGTATATTGAGTGATTACATGAATATATATGTCTATATCTCTCTAATCCATATTCGTCCCGTCTTTATTCTCTCTTACCATTTATATATTCATGGCATGACGCTTGCCGACCTTTCCCGTTCATCCCACCTCTTCTACTATGTTTTTATTTAATTTTCCCTCGTTATACCTTTCTCTCTGTATTTATACGGGGGTTGAATACCTCATAACCTTAATCGCTTTGGGATCCTCAACCTATAAGATTGATTTACGAATTAGATCGTTTCATCAATGTCAAACGTACGTGATCATTGGGCAATAGGCAAGTAGTAAAAACCAAATGGTCATACCAGTATCTTTAGTATTAAATCGTTTATCTTGTTTTACTGTTTACAACCGTGCATTTAACCTTTCACTTGCCTTGTTTGTGGTCAAATTAGATCGTGTCATCAATGTAAAACGTACGTGGTCATTGGTCAATAGGCAAGCAGTAAGAACCATGAAATGGTCATACCAATATCTTCGGTATTAAATCGTCAATCTTGTTTTACTGTTTTCAACCGTGCATTTAACCTTTCACTTGCCTTGTTTGTGGTCAAATTAGATCGTGTCATCAATGTTAAACGTACGTGGTCATTGGTCAATAGGCAAGCAGTAAGAACCATGAAATGGTCATACCAATATCTTTGGTATTAAATCGTCAATCTTGTTTTACTGTTTTCAACCCTGCATTGAACCTTTCACTTGCCATGTTTGTGGTCATTGGGCAATAGGCAAGTAGTAAGAACCATGAAATGGTCATACCAATATTTTTAGTATTAAGTCGTTAATCTTGTTTTACTGTTTTAAACCCTGCATTTAACCTTTCACTTGCCATGGGTGTGGTCATTGGCACGGGCGCAAGGATGCCATATACAACGATTCGCGCAAACTCCATTGCTTTTGCGCGACGGGAACGCAAATAATCACTACAGGGTCATACCTATATCTTCTGTAATCGTCAGTCTTCTTTCAATTTTGTTCAACCCTACATTCAATGAATCCGAAAAAAATTCAGAAAAAACAAATTATTGAAAACTTGAAGGAATTTGGACGAATGACAATATTTGTTCAATATAATATAACAAAAGATTGTAGTCACATTGAGAATCTCAAATTGGGGAGTTCGGGGACTTCATCTCTGATTCTGAAATATACTTTAAAAATTCCAGGTTCTGCTAAACGTCATTCTTGCCCTCGGGGCAATACTTAAAATCTATTCTGGATATTATTTGTCCATGTCTTTCGAAAACATAGATCCCACCTAGTCATGTTTAACATAATGTCCGCAATCATATCGTATTGTCATTACCGAGTAGGCCAGTTTGACATTAGCCGTTATTAGCATAGTTAAATGTTAAAAATAGTTGAAAAACTTTCAAAAGAAATCATAACTTTCTTTTGTTTGTTTGAATTCGTTAAAACATTTATCAAAGTATATGCTTCGCTGGTTGATTTCCTCGAAAACAACTTACTATTAAGTATAGACTTCCCTTTAATTATTTATTTGATTATTTCCCAAACATTTCAGATGGTTTTGCAGTGACGGTTCATGGAGAAAACATTTGGTGATGAGCAACAAGCTACCTTTAAAGGCAGTTTAAATTTCGTGAGGGCTACAGACGTCATGTTCTTGTATTTCTTCGGAAGGTCGACGAGGTACAGCCAAGACGCGGCGCACGAACCCCTGCCGCTGTTGTTTGCCTAGGACATGCCTTCACCGTACTCCTCAGAGCAAGGTCCATTACAATGCCTATTAGGTAATTAGCCTGGTTCTGTGAACATAGTCGGGACTGCTTTCATGTCACGAGAATATTGTGACAATAAAGTAGACGCTAATTAATATAATGGCCCCGTTCAAATGGCAATGGGCTCGTAATATAAGGTTGGCAACATGGAGTATAGGGGGAGCAGAACATAACGGCATGTACGCGTTCATTAAGGAATACTGATGGACCGATTGTCTGCATTCCATGAATTCGTATTTAGCTATCGCCATCTTTATCTTATAACCTTTCTGCTTTCTGCTAGGATGTTGGGTAAATGAGCAGTGGTGTATTTAATGGGGCATGAATGGCTGAGAGATATAAGGGATTTTTTCCCCGAGAAGCCTTCGTAACGTACCACGAGCAGTTTGTCAGGATAGCGCCAAAAAAAGGACAGGGATCGGGATTTTACATGATATTATCATCTACCCCTTTTTTTTTTTTTTTTTTTTTTTTTTTTTTGGGGGGGGGGGTTTAAGAAGAAGAAGAACTATACATATATATATATATATATATATATATATATATATATACACGCATAATGTGAGTGCATATACGTAATTTGATTTCAAAACAATTTTCGCTTAGTATTCTGCAATAATGGTCGTAAACTGACTGACTTGCCTCAATCAAACAATAACAAACAACATTATTAGGGAAAATAAAAAAAACAGCGAAAGGGAGAGACTGAATTTAAAACGGTAATGCGACGTGACAGAAAATGAAGCAACTCCCTCACTCGAAATGTTCGATGCCCTTGTTACTTTTTCTTCACATTCAACGAGCCAAGTCAGTACATGTACGTCCCCCTTAGCCCCCCCCCCCCCCCCGATACCAGCGCCCCTCCATTGATTGGGTACTCTCTACGCTACTGTTAATGAGACAAGATCACATAGGGCTGCCTTCCTCCGTCCATAATCTATAAAATACCGCTTTATATCAAGCGTAATGTTCAAATGTTATTTGTTGCTACCTTTATAGTCCCTCTACGCCGATCAAACATTGTTTTGTCAGGCAGTCCGGCCATTTGTTTTTCCCTTCAGGTTTATACGTCTGATGTAATCAATGTCTTTATATTGTTACAACCGCTGAGTCGGAAACAAGAAAACAGGATCAAATTGGATAAAGAAAGTATCCTGTGGCTGCTTTTAGTGTTAACCCTATCCCGAAGTAACCACCCTATGTTAAAAGCTGGGTGGTTGCTTTCAAAGGGATCATTTAACTTTTTCGCTTTGATTTGTATATCTGTTAAAGGTACTATGTCCCATTTGCAGGCAAAAAAATGAAAAGGGTAAATTCCGACGGCATTTGAAAGATAATACTAATTTATTTGCTTTGTGACGATTTACATTCACCTAAAATGTAATTGAATTGTAATAATGTAGATGAGAGAATTAAGGAATCGATCAGTTTTTCCCAACGTTTATGATCAATAAAGGCCTGTTTTCATTCAAACTTTCAGATTATCTGTAATAAATTGTACATCTAGCATTGAGGTCACTACCTTTGCACCATTTTATCTCATCTGAACAATGTTACTCAGTCCCTTTAAGGAATTGTGTTACTCAGTCCCTTTAAGGGATTGTTTCCCACAACCTTTTCTGAACATGTTATAAACCCGCCACTCTTATTTTATATACACTAATTATTTTACACATTGATTAAGATCTCTTGTGTTTACAGTGGAAAATAACTGATTTGATTTGATAACTGCTTCAGTCTAAAGCGTATATAGACATGTACATGTGGTTCACTTAATATTGCACACACGCACACATAATGTTTACCCAGGGGTAGCATTAGATGTGAGGAAAGAGCGGATGATTCCTTGTGATTTTTTAAACAAGTATGTCCCCTCCCCCTCCAAACTTGTTCAACTTCTACTCTTCTCCTTCTTCTACTTCTTCTTCCTTTTCTTCTTTTCCTTCTTCTTCTTCTACTTCTTCTTCTTCTTCTTCTTCCTATTTTTCTTCTTCTTCTTCTTCTTCTTCTTCTTCTTCTTTTTCTTCTCATTCTTCTTATTCTTCTTCTTCTCCTTCTGATTCGTCTTCTTATTTACCTTCTGATCCTTCTATTTTCTTCTTATTTGTTTCTTTTTATTATTTTACTTCTTCTTTTTTCTTCTTTTTCTTTTACCCCTTTCCTTAATCTTTCTTGTATTCAGCTTCCTGTTCTTCTCCTGCAGCTCTCCTTTTCCTCTTCTCCCTCCTCCTCCTCCTCCTCCTCCTCCTCCTCCTCCTCCTCCTCCTCCTCCTCCCCTTTCCTTCCTCTTCATATTCTTGTTCTTGTATATGTCATGATTGTTCTTGTTCTTGTTTCTGTACTTATTTTTGTACTTATTCTTGATCTTATTCCTTTTGTGTCGGATTCTTTGACACATTCAAAGCTTTTACAAGTTGTTTGCCCTGTGTCCATTAAAAGTTCTGATGGTCTGACTGAATATCTGTCAGATTGCGTCACGGACCATACTTAAATTCATCTCAGTTCTACCGTTTAAATACTTGTTCTGATGGTACAGTATTAACTTCGGGTTCTACGAATTGTCCACATTCTTTGCTGTATAAGTCTGTCCAGTGCGAGAAGGGCGTTTACTCAACGCAGAAGGACGCGATTTCACGCCCTCCTCAACAGAAGTTCTAATCTCTCTTCAGTATTGAATTAAGGGGGATCTTTGTCAATATCACGTATTCAGGGGGTATCCGTCCTCCTTCAGCTCGTGTGTAGAATACCATGAACCGTATTGTTAACTCGTCTTTAGAAACCGTGACCCAGTTAGAATTATCTTCACATTCTCGATTATTTAATCTCCCCCCTTTGGCCGTCATTACGTTGTCATCTGGAATATTTAGCCTCAATTTACAAAGTTCCATTAAAGTGCGCATTAACTGTATTGAACATATATATCTTCCTCTGCAATGTACAAACACGCATGTAGGACGATAACAAAAATTCCATGAAACCACCTCAAGGAATCTTCCTACACCTGAGAGTGTTGCCTTTGGAAATTATAATCGGATTACGTAATAATAATAATAATAATAATAATAATAATAATAATAATAATAGCCTAATAGTCCACTCAAAATTTTATTAAACCGAAACGGAAATTCTTTTTGCCCAATTGATCGTGAGCGGCAGCCACTGAGCAGCGCCAGATCGACGTTGCTCTATCCCTTATAGTTGAACGCCAAACAAGGTAGCAACAACTCCCATCTTTTAACGTCTTTTTGGTGTGACGCGGTCGGGGTTCGAACCCACGACCTCCCGGTTGTGAGGCGGACGCTCTACTGACTGAAGTTATAAAGTATTTACGCTCTTGGTATGGTGGTGGTGATGGTTATTTTACCTGACTGCTAAGAAAGCATAAAAATGCTTGTAAGTAAGCAACCAGATGGCCGATGGCTTTAGGTCCTCTTCGAGGGACCTGGTAATGAGGATTAATGAGTTACCAAAGCGCACTAGCGCATCGACTTGGTTTCGAACCCGGGTAACCGGATGAGGAGACCACTTCTCTACCGACTGAGCTATCGCGCCTCCATTATGTAAGTACGTTTTCTCATAAAAGCAATCCTGTTTCTCTAAAGGTATGATGGATCAGGAAGGAAAGGGTGGATGAGATTTAAACAAGAAAGACAGAAAGAGAGTGGGGTTAGTGAACAAGAAGACTTAATTAGCTTCACCCTTCATTTGCCACAGGTGCTAATCACCGCAAACAATACTATCCTAATGAGCAATTATTATTCGATAGGATTACCCACCATTTAATTGCGAATGGAATATCTAAATTTTCATTCCCTGTAATGTCAGATCACACATGTGCAATAATATTTTCCTGAAAATCTACGAAAGTGTGCTGGAACTCTTTCTTTTTTTGAGGGAAAAACTCTGGTAGATAAACATTTCCCATTTTCACCGGGTTTTCCTCGGTAACCACATCCAGCGTGTGCTGCGCGAACGATTTAGTTCCCCCCCCCCCCCCACTTCACCTTTTCTCATAATTCCCCAAAACTCAGACAATAGATCCGATTAGCATAATTATTATGCAATTCCCTCAGGTCCTCTTGCACTTTGATGAGAAGTATACCCCCATCTATACATCTTCAAGTATATTTCCAACTTAGGTTATTGGTCTCTCCTCAGATTGTGAAAGAAAAGGCATGATGGAAGTAATAAAGAACACAACATGATCATGTAGAAATAATCTAAAGAATTATCTGCATGAGCTTTCTTCATTAACAAAAAAGTAAAACATTCGCTTCATAAATAACAATGACTTTTATTTACTGAACGTATTCTGCTCGATTAGATTAATAAAAAAAAAAAGACGGACGAAAGAAGAAGGGCTAAGGCTAATTTCAGCGTAGTGTAACACAAAGGACAGAATTTTTCAAAAAGCCATTATGGGTTCTTGTTTTCTATTTCAATTGGCAACACGCATATTTTTCTGTCTGTGTTCATTATCTTAAAAAAAATGATTTGACACTGAGAAACCATGTGGTCAGAAAGCCTGTACTAAAGTTAAAACTTTACTTTTTACCTTAAAGATAAAGTTGAGTTCTGGTATCATGTGATTGCATTGTGAAAGAAACGTTGTGGAATCGATCAGAAAAGATTGATCATGCAGCATATTAGTATTGGTGTGTACTGCAAGGTTCTGGAATCATCACATGATAAGGAATTTGGCACAGTCTTGGTAAAGTAACAAGCACTGTACACAGAAAGATGTATATGGGACTGCACAAGCATCCCTTTTTAAAGGATCCCTTTTTAAAGCTTTTACATGTCATATTTACAATAGGAAGGCATTTGAAGAGACATGCTTTTCAGGGAACAACTTTTCTCTGATGTGCTTCCAGACTTGCATAATAACAATGAAAACGCTCACAAATGTGTTTGTTCACCTCCCCCCAGAACTCAACATCCTCTTTAAGACTCACCATGTCGAGAACTTGATTGAAGAACAAGATGAAGTCGACATGGACGATCGTCGAGATATTCTTCACAGGGCGCACTTGAGGATCGTAAGTGCTCATGAGTCGAGAATCAACTGGTGGGTGAAATCGTCCGCATTAACTGTGAAAGAAAGAAGAAAATACCATTAAAAATATGAAAATATTCTTTTTTTATTGCATTTATATCTGTTTGCATCTGTGTTTATTTATTAATCAATTTCATAACGAAATGGCAAAATGGAAATAATCAACAATTGTACTTTCAATTATAAAATACATGAAACTGGAAAGTGAGAGACGGTCGGTATGAAGCTGTGATTTTTAACTCTTTAATTTAATAAGAATTTCTAAAGGACACGTCAACCTTTAAACTTATAAGCTTGGCGCCCATTCATCTGATACAGTGTTTTTTATAAAGTATCTGGCAGGTGTTTTAAAAACATACCCACCCCCCCCCCCCCCCCCCCCCCCGCCCGCGCATTTCAAGTCATAAGAGTCAAATGTAAAGCGACCAATTCAAATAATCAGTTAGTTATTGATTAAAAGTACACTAATTGACTAATATGTTGCCAAGAAATTATTACTCAAAAGAAAAATATTCTATAATTTAGCAGTTATATCACGTCTTTAACCACCCCTCTTTTCCTATAAAGACGCGTGCCCGGTTATTGACCCAGTCAGGGGTTGCAACGTAGCACAGCGGATTCCGACGTCAACAACTTGTTTTCTCCAGTGTTATGAAAACAAATATATTTGATTTCATGTAAATTAAATGGATTTGCTGGATGTCACTAAATTTAAAAAATATTTCCCATCGATATATAAATAAGTAGACATACGCTGGGAACCTTGTATTAAGACTCATATAATTTCATTTGATAAATATATCTGCTACTGACATCTTGCATACGTATACGAAGGTATACGGCAGTATCAAGCTTTGTGCTTTTATATGCAAATCTAAGGTTACAATGTACGAACACATAAATAGTTACTGTTGATTCATTTACAAAAGTCTTACTGAGATGAAGGCAATCAAGTTTTTTTTTAAGCATTAGTGACCCATTACGTAATGTTTATTGTTGAATAGAAACTAATGCGTGAATATATAAATATGTAATAATTATGACAACCCTTAAAATCATGGTAGAACAAAGGATAGGTGAGCTTATCTTTGCTGGCACAAAGTTTGAAAACAATTCTTTAATATAGTCATCTTATGTTGAGATGTTGCGTCGTTCTTCTCCTATGGGAAATTATATCTCCATGCATGTACGTGTGCAATATTGGTCTTGATATATCAGAAAACAGACCAACTTTTTATTACCAACCACCGGCTTCACCATGCAAACTTTCATCAACACTTCTGAAATTTAGCGAAATAAATATTGACGTTGTTAGAAGCTTAAGCCTCATGTTACGTTCAACCCGACCAAATAAAGTGCTCTATATCACGCAAACTTTGCATGAGGGTTAAATTCATTTCCCCTTTAAAGGGGAATGTGCCAAAGTGTGCTTTACTCCTCATGTATATTTTACTTCTCACCCCTCCAACTAGCACATAGTAATACACAAACAAGCACCCACGCATACACGCCGTGCTTGGCTTGGTATCTATTCATCTGGCATGTCTGACGCCTTCGTTTCTGTTGTTGTTGTTTTTGGGGGGGTTAAAGGTTGCTCTCTGATATTCAGTAAATTTAAACTAGTGCTAATCAAGGAATTGCAATTTGAAAGAAATATTTGAGAAAAATAGAATGTTATATCCCTATATTGAAAAAATATATTGTATTTCGGGGTGTTGAGATGATAAAATATATTACTGCAAATCGAGTATTGTTAACTGCACTGCACAAGAAAACGAATATCTTGGAGAATTCACACATTTTGAACAAAATTTTTGGCTAAACTTTTCAACCATTTTTGTCATAATTCGAATATAAGCGTATCTGGAGAGCTAACCTTTTCCAAGGGCCACTTATACTATTATAATGTTCTTCCAGACTGACATTAAAAACATTATTTCTCATCTTAACCAAGAATGTGTCAAACTGTGGTTTAATCCATGTGTCTTTTATTTTCACCCCTTCCCTCTAACACACATGACTAGGAACATGCGCACACCCCGTGAGTTTAAACGGTGGTGACGCAGATTGTCGTGATAACTATTCATCTGGCGCCCTCCGGTTTTTTTTCTTAAGAAGTTAGATAAAGATAAAGATAAAGAAATCTCTCTCGTGTTGAATTGTTGTTTTCCTTAAAGGCATCGTTTAATAATGTTAAATCTGAGATGTATTACGTGTTATCAGTGTCTGTGATATGGTGTAATATTGGAGCCCTACAAAAATTGCGCTTCAAAATGATCAAGAAGTGCCTTAAAAAAGTAAAAAAAATCTTTGAGTGACCGGTTATACCATACTCGTTTTCCCCAATAGACTGTAGAGTTATGAAAACCTTTTGGCAAACGGTTTTGAAAATTTTACAACTCCAATCATAAATGTCTTTATAATCAGACAGGCGATCGGCTTGTAAAAGTCATGGGATTCCTGACTGACCTAAAGGTTTATAATTATCGTTGCAGCATGAGCTAAATCCAGTATTTTGTTTCAGAATCTGAGACAAAGCTACCGGATCCCTTTAATGCTACGAGCATTAAGGCAATCCCTAAACTTCAGCCTATATGTTTACTATCACTCTCCAGGGCTAATCTGTCACCCGACCCAATGATAAAAAGTTTATTATCGTATGGTATCTTTTGCATTCAAATCGGGAAAAAAATGCAAAAATTACATAGGCCAACATGAAAATATAGGAATGAATACGCTTCATCTATAGGAAGCCAGTGTTAAGATTCGGAGTACAAGTTTAGGATATTTGTGCATCCCATATATTTTTTATTATTATTCCATCGTTTGAGTTACTTGAGCAAAAGTAACCTAAACCAATCAATCTTTGTTAGATATGAAAGAAGCGAAGGACGTGATAATGCCGGTTACTTCCATGAAAATGATGACAGGTCAGAGGATGAAATGACTTTATGGTGGCACCAACACCACACACCATTTCTTCTAATACAACTTCTACTACTACTACTACAACTGCTGCTGCTGATGATGATGATTCAGATTTCAGATTCAGATTAATTTTAGTGGTCCATTTGGAAATTCAGGGATGATGATAATAATGATGATGATGATAATAATAATAATAATAATAATAATATAGAAATATCATCAAGAATATGATATTCATAATGATGATAACAACAAAAACATTAAAGGTAAAGACCATTATTGGAAACGCCCCAATTTAAAAAAAAATGAAATGGAAGCTCTTATTACCAATCATGTGAAAGAATATGTTTTGAATATTACATGGTGATAACAATTTTGACGGGAAACCGCCTACTAATTGATATACTTAGTAAATTGGTGTATCTCTCGCCTATTGAGAGATATGAAATGCAAGTGTCGTGCACGTGTGTGTAGTCCCATATACATCTTTTTGTTTACAGTGCTTCTAACTTTATGAAGACTTGGCCAAATTTCTTATCATTTTGATGATTCCAGAACCTTGCAGTACATCTATGCTAGATGATCAACCTTTTCTGATCGATTTCACAACGTTTCTTTCACAATGCAATCGCATGACCATAACTGGCCTTTAGCTTTAAGCGCACAAAAACAAGAACTATTACAAGAACTACAATAATAGTGATAATATTAAAAGTAATCATAACTATGACAAAATAATAATCATTGATGATAACAAAATCGATGATAACAATTACATTTCAGTAATTTTGATATTGACACTAATCACTATGTTATCTTTTTCCAGAATGAATGTTTACTTATAAAACAAACTTCACCAATAAGTTCCAATATCATCTTTGTTTCTTTATCAATCATCATCGACGCAATTAACGTCAGCATCGACCTCTCAACCATTCTCGACATCCTAATCAACCAACAACCCACGAGTGCCGAAAGAGCAACCACCCATCCCACTCCATGACTTTATTTGGGATGCACCTCGCACTTTAAGACTCCGGGGAATTCCTCTCCTTTTCTGTTCCTGCTGCCTGGCTATCCTCCGCTGCCCGCGAGAAGGTCTTTATGTCCAATGACGTAACATAGCTGTTATGGCCTTCTTGCTCGCAGACGACGCTATGTGCTCGGGCTGGGTATCGATTCGATCGATCGACCGCGAAGACGGTCGGCGCGCGTAAGTTGCCTGTCACATTTGGTTGGCTTAAATATCGTGGGTTAGCGAAGATCTTCGCCATCGGATGCGTCTTATAGATAGAAAAGATAAACAGTCAGTTTAGTAGATGAATGGGAATCTCGCCAGGATTTGTTGCCCGATTTGCAGCTCGAATAATTGACCCGAAAAAACTGCAAGGAAAGATAGAAGACTCTTTGCTTCTATTTGTTTTATTTCCTTGTAGAGAATTATAAAAAGAATAAAATTTCTCAATCTATGCTATTGCATACTGTTTATTTGTTGTTGATGTGCGAATAATACAACAGTGAATCAAAATAATGGCTCTTTTCTTCATTCTTATTCTTTAAAATCATTATACATTATGTGAAAAGGATTTAAGCGAAATAAGTACAAGTTTGAAGTGGTTACATTTTCACGTCAAACTTGGGCTTTAAAGATTCTAGTTGAAGAGTAGACGTCGGGACCTATGTGCAGTTAGAGGATTGACTTATATTTGTTTGAACACATCATTTCGACCCTGACATTATAGTGGTTATACACCCGACTAGTTTAATCATAGCCTTGCCCTTGTAGTATTAATGTTCGGAAACGTTCCCATTGCCATACGTTTCTTAGTTTAGGTACTCTTTGCTGTCACCTGCACATCAGACTCATTCACCATTCGAACGAGCGTCGCACTGTTTTATTAGCTCAAAACAATTTGCGAACAAGATGGGTATCTTCAAACTGGACACACGTAGGCATCATTGGCTGTGGGCTCATTACAAATCCACACCGGCATGAATGATAACATTATGGCTAAACAGAGCCCTGTCTTCATAGCTAGCTAAAACAATCGTTAACTTAATATCCGTAAAGCCGCTGAAGATGTTTTCTTTTGC